ATAAATTATTATATACTTATTTGGTGTATTAGCTGCCGGAAAAAAATAGTTCTGGTGCACACTATTAACATAAGCTTCAAAAGAAAGAGTAGCAACAAAAATATGTAATGGCAAGTAGAGCAGCAAAATAGTGACCTTGACTCAAATTATTTTTGTACACAAATACATGTATGCATATCGTACATAGTTACACACATACATGCAATGTGTGTGTGTGTATTTATATGTATATAACAATATTTGAAGTTGCATTAAGAGAGGAGGGATTTTAAATGTAATACATGAGTATATTATACAAATTGAATAACTGCAAAAAAAGGTGCAAATCAGGTTGGTTAAAAATGCAGACCAGACAATTTTGAAGCTATTTGAGGTGATTTTGCTATTGTGTATAGAGCTCAGTGTATTTCATAAACAAGGAAAGTTGTTTGCATTATTCTTTCAATATCATTTAAGTCACTACTTTTGGGGAAAGGACCATTGTTCTGTTGTTACATCTAGGTCCCATAGTCAATCATTAGCAGTTTTGTTGTAATGAAAACGAATGCTGATTTGTAAATGTAAATGCAAATCAGAGTCTATGAGGTTGTGGGGATCTGGATGGGGGGAATATTGTGTTCCTGTTTTGAGGCAGGAACTATTTTTACAAATCTGGCCAAGCATAATATTGATTGATTATATGCTATTAACTCAGTATTGAGTTCTAGTGACTACGTAGTAGATGTATTTTCTCTTTGAGGATCTTACCCGTCTGTCTTTCAGGTGTTCCAGTCTTACGTCTATTGCTGCTGTAATTGAGTCAATCAATCTTGCCATTGTCTATCCTCTTCTCTTTCCTTCCACTTTCCCAATTTTATTGAGAGCAAATTTGGTGTAGTAAGGTGCTGGCCTAGAAACCTAGAGACTATCTAGACCTCCCTTATTCATGAAACCCAGTTGGCCAGTCATTCACTGTCAGCCCAGCCTACCTTACAGGGTTGTTGTTGTGGAAAAATAGGAGTCAGAAATCATACCTATGTTCACTGTATTGAGTTATATACAGGTAGTCCTCAACTTACAACTGTTTGTATAGTGACCATTCAAAGTTATAAAAGCACTGAAAAAAGGGACGTACAATCAGTACTCTCACTTACAATCTTTACATTATCCCCTGGGTCACGTGATCCACATTTGGGCACCAGGCAGCCAAAACCATAGCATAGATTATTGACATTTCTTCTTCCAGTTTTAAAATCCTGCTTATCTTCTTCCAGCACCTTGATTTGATTTTATATTATGTCTTATATGACCCAATTTGGTTTGTGAACAGTATTTTATAGTAATACTTTCCTGTACAAATTAGACGCATGGACTTAAAAATGCTCAGCAGTGGCTGTGCTGAATGTGGAATTTAGAAGTTGAAGCCCATAGATAAGTTGCCCAGGTTCATAAACATTGATTCCTACCTTAATGAGTACAACATTGTTAGTATTTATACTGGCACAATATTTTCGGTATGTATTACAGTAAAACCTGGGAAACCATTGGAATCCAAAAGTGAATATTCGTTATGGCTTTCAATGTAATACATTGTTATCCCGTTAAGAACCATTTTCTGTTTCTTTTGGTCATTTTTAGTAGATCCTTGACCTAATGAGATAATAGCTTTCTTCATAACAACAAGGCTTTGCTGTCAATAATGGTTTACTGTTTCCATGCCTGACAGAAGGTTGGAATAGTTCATCCAACGGTAGAACTGTCACATGAGATCTTTACTATGCGCCTGTCAGTCTAGTTAAAATGTTAATATGCAAACCTCTTTGTAGTAATCCACATATGTTTTGTTTGCTGGCTGAAGGAATTACAGTTGACCTCTTGTTCAGAATATCTGGAACGTTTAGCAAATGAGAGTGATGTTATCTGCCAAGAAAAAGATCAAAATAGGCCTTTAAAAGATTAAACTCCAGGATTATTTGAAAAGAGAGGATCTGAATGCAGTTGACATTTACTAGGGAAAGAAATAGATATTCTGTTTTTCAGCCTATTATCACATTTGTTTAGATATTGACAAAGAATAGATATAAGAATCATGGTAATAGGTCAGATTGAAATATTCTAAGCAGTGTTCTCACTATGACTTAGGATTTTAGTTTCTAATTTATCCCTAATTTACATGAGCTTTGCTCATGAATATTATTTCAAGTTTTGTAATATGCAGTCATAGCACCAAAGTGTGATCTACCTTACAGGGATGCAAACAAAGCAAAGCTGGGATTTTAGCAAAAGTTCTTACCTTATCTTCTCTCTGCGACTCTGTTTTTATTGTGAATGCTAATTGTATCACTCTCATTTATTGCTTGCTTACCTCCAAATATACCCTCAGTATATTTAAATTAAAAGCATAATTTGGATTCCTTGGTTTTATCAGATAACGATTTCTTAAAGAAGTAGAATGTTAATTCTACTACTGATGTTAATTAGTAAGCAGATATAATTTCAGATCACATTTTGAATGGGCTTCAGTTTTAGACCATGTGTTTGTATCGGGAAATCAAATATCTACTTGAATAACCAAATAGGTCCATGAGCTTATTTCTATGGTTCGCTATAAAAATATGAGAAATATAAGAAGAAGAAAGGGAAATAAAATTCTCAGATAAATTACTGCTTTATTATTGCCCTCTATATTAGAATTACATCCACATAAAGGCTATCTTCTGATACAGCTTCAGGGTTTAAGAGTGAATGGCACTGTGTTGCACTGTTTCTCTGCCATCTTCTGAAGCTGGTTCCAGTTGATGTTCACGAAGAGGGAGCTCCTGATTTCTGGGGTTCTTCAAGGCTTGAACACAACTGCTTAAGAGCTACACAAAGCTGCTGGATGAGTTAATTCAATGGCACAAGTGAGATATTGTCAGCAAGCTGCTGATATCTTTACTTTTTTGCATTGGACTGAACAGGTGATGTGGTGGAAGCTCTGTCTTGGTGTCTGGAGGCTGTGGGAGCTTGGATGGGGAAGGACAAGTTTCAATCCAATCCTGCTGGGGGGGGGGTGGAACCCCTGGTTCTAGAAAGTTTTCCTTTCTTATTCTGAATGGGGTTGCATTATCCCAAACAGAATCCATGTGCAATTTCGATGTCTTTCTGGATGGCTTGGAGGATTTTTGCACAGCTTTGTGTTGTAGGCCAATTGCATCCTTTCCTAAACCAAGAGGCTCTGTACATAGTCCTTCATGCTTTTGTCACCTCCTGAGTCGGTTATTGTAATTAGCTCTACATGGGTTTGGCCTTGAAAAACATTTAGATGCTCCAGCTGGTCTTAAATGAGGCAGTTATGGACTCCCCCTGGTGTGGATATGTTACACTTCTACTGGTTACCAGTATGCTTCTGCGTGCAATTCACTAGTAGTCATCTACAAAGACCTTCATGGCATGGGGCCTGGTTATTTGTGGGGCCACCTCTCCTTGATTGTTTCTACTCATCCCATCACATCTGTCAGAAAAAGAATGTTATGGTTGTTATGCTGGTGACCCAGAGGTAAAGGGAGCAGCTGGAAAATTTGCACGCATGTGCACGGGTGTGCATGCGGAAACAGCACCCACACAGTGCTAGCAGCTCCATTTGCATAGGCATGCAGGTGTTAGCTGTTGCTAGCTGTTGCAAATGGGGTGTGCAACCCTTGTGCATGCTAGCGGCCCCATTTGCGCAGATATGGAGACGCTAGCCACCACTGCTAGCTCCACATACACACGCAAATGGGTCCACAGGCGCTAGTGTGAGTGGGGGTCAGTGCATGCACGAGTGTGTGTGCACACTGGTCAGCTTGTCCCACGGCCCATAGTGGGCCGCTGCCCATTGGTTGGGGACCCCTGCTACAGCTTATCCATCTGGCCAAACATAGAAAATGGGATTGTGCTAAGAAAGCACGGTAAACAGTTTCATTGTTAATAATGACTGATCTAATACTGGCTTGGTTAAAATAAACACACTTTCATTCCTTGAATCCTTATTAAATGGGCTTTTAAAACCTGTAGAATTATATATCCTCTTTTTAAATTTATTTAGATTAGATTTAAAATAGGTTTTTTTTTATTGAAAATTTATAAGGTTTTACAATACAAAAACAAAAGTTTTCCCCATCCCTCCCCAACCCTCCCCTTCCCTCCCCCGACTATCCCAGAGCTGGATATAGGCTTAATTAGAATTTCTTCAAAAAATCTTAAGAAAAATATAAAATGTAAATAAATCTAGATACATTACTTAAACAAATTACTAAATAATTAACAATAATATATATGTAAAAAAAGAAAAACATAAATACCAAAAATAAAATAGGTCTTATGATATTCTGCTTTTCCAAATAAAGTTACCCTATATTTAGGTTACAATTACCAGAGTTAGAACTTCTGCATAGATAACCCATGTGATTATCTAAAACAAGGACAGTTATCCTGAAGAAGGAATGCAGTCCCATGGGAAAAAGGCTAAAATACTTTTGATTCTTTAATCCTATAAAATTCATCTCAATACTTAAATGATTTTTTACAGTGAAATCAAATTTGTTACAGATTTTTGTGTCTGCAAAAGAAAACAGCGATATTTTTCTACTATATCGTCTGCTTCCTTCTCCCTGCTGTAAATCTGTGCTATAAATGGAATTGGACGAACTTTCCCTCTCCTCCCCCCATCCCTAAGTCTCAGAAACTTACTGATATGCTAATATAAGAGGAGGGAGAGAAATAGTTGAAGGAAGATGTCTATTAAAAAGAAAAGGGGGATAGCCCATCATCCCTTTCTGAGTAACATGATGAATTGTGGAAACTCTGATTGAAAATTCTAATCACAGCCTTGCAGTCCTTCAGATCTCAACGGCTGACAGTTGATTCACTCCTTTTCATGCCTGCTGCTCACACTGCTTATGGTGTCTCTTATGCATGAATCTATCATTAGCACACAAAGCATGATGGATTGGTTAGAGAGTACCTCTGTCCTCAAAACCTGGGAAATGCTTCTTTTTCAGGATTGCAGAGCCTGCGTGTGACATCGTCATGAACGAAAGAAGAAAGTAATACAGCATTGGATGCGCCTGCTTGCTGCCCATAGCAAAAAGAGAGGGGAGAAAATGATGCATTGTGGGGAATGTGAGTATATGGCCTGTTCTGACCTCACCAGGACTCAGTGCAGAACATCATTTTCCTTAATCAGGGCAAAGTGGCAAAAATATTGGGACTGAATATTTCACTGAGAAATCAAAAAAGTAAACTTCATCCCCTGCTGCATGAAATATATTTAAACATTTGGATTTTTAGAGCAGTCTTTGCAACCAGAAAGACTAATTAATTATAATGTAGATGAGATTTTTTTTCTGTGTGTGTGAACCTCTGTCTTTTATTTGTCTTTACTATCTTCCTATATTTAAAGGCTACATTTTAGTTTTATCTGCTTTTCTGGTTGATATGCCATGTCTTTGAGAAAACATAGCTGTGTTTTGGCTGAGAAGGAAGATCAAATGTTCAGTCAAAACTCTGAGTAATAGGTCATAATATGCTTCACTACGCTGTCTTGTAATAAATAAATTTGCAGAGTTGACAGAAATTTGTTTTAAAGTATAGAACTGTGTACTTAATCTCAAAATTCAATAAGAAAAAATATATTAAGAAGACTAGGTGCATCATGCAGAAAATTTGAGGAACTACCAAACTGGAATGGATTTATGTTGTGTTTTCTGTTATTTACCTACACAGATGCATAGCAAAACTTTTTAAAAAAAATCAGAATTCTCTTCATTTATGAATAGTCTGAATGTTTATAGCAGCTGGTTATGGATGATCAGTGGTTGGAAATGTAGACGTATCAGAGGCAGACTACAGTATTGTCTTGTGAATACCAATGTACACAGAAATATTTTCATTGATGCCTGTCAAGCTTCAGACCCCATATAACTTTATTATTTTTGATTCTTAAGTTAGCATATATAAAAGGGAAGCAAGGATGATGCAAAGTAAAGCAAGACACAGTCTCTAGCATAATATTTACTTAAAATAATCGTTCTTGACCTCACCTAGTCCTCACAGCCTATATGAAGTATTAATTTAAGTGATACAGCTTTTTTAGAATTATGTTTACATGCCAGGGGGGGAAAGTCTCCTAGGTTTCTTATATAGTAAAGGAACTGACAGGAATCTGTCTTTTGGAAGATGTGATTTTTGTGATTAGTCTTGCCTTTCGTGGTAATCATTTTATAAATAGTCCAATAATTGCCATTTTGATAAAATAACCTAGGTATGTTCTGAAAATTCCATTGGGTTATACAAGTAAGCCTTGACACAACCACAATTTGAACCACATCTTCTGTGGTTAAGTGTTGCAGTGAATCATGCCTGATTTCACAACCTTTTCTGCTGTTGTTAAGCAAATCACCACAAATCACACAATCATTAAGAGAATCCACCTTCCTCCATTGCTATTGCTTGTCAGAAGCTCCCTGGAAAGATCATGAATGGCAATCACAGGACCCAGGGACTCTGCAACCATCATAAATACGTGCTGGTTGCTAAGCAACTGAATTTTGATCATGTGACTACAGGGACGTTGTGATGATCATAAGTCCAAGGACCGATTATAAGTCACTTTTTTCAGTGCCATTGTAACTTTTAACATTTGTTAAATGAATATTTGTAAGTCAAGGACTACCTGTAAAGGCTAGCTCCTGTGTATAGCATTCACTACAGATAGAATATGCTCATGGTAGGAATATAGGAAACAAAGATGAAATATATAAAGAAGTAGAGCTATTAGTAAGAAATATTATTTTATGGTATATTAAGAACTCACAGATTTATAAATAAAAAATATAAAGGGATTCCCTATCAGTCGTATCTGACTCTCTAGGGCATGGTGCTCATCTCTGTTTCTTGGCTGAGAGAGAGCCAGTATTGTCTGAAGACCATTTCCTCAGTCATGTGACCAGCATGACTATATGGTGAAGGCACACAGAATGCCTTCTGTGGTACCTATTAATCTACTTGAATTTACATGCTTTCACTACTAGGTGTACAGGTGCTGGGGCAAATAACAGGAGCTCAACTGCTTTAACCACTGAACCATCGGTCCCTGATTTACAGATAGACCTTGACATATGGCCATTTATTCAGTGACTGTGTGCAAATGCACTTGAAGAAGGCAGTGGCAGGTGCCTCTCCTCCATTCTCTCCTCCCTGCATTTAGGAGGACGAAGAAGATGATGAGACAATGCAATTAGGGATGGCTTTTGCCCAGGCCACTGACACATTTATTTATAGTTATTTACTAATTACAGTACGTACATGTGTTAAAATAACTTCTTGTAATTACAAATAACATATTTAATCTCATATATCAACTTGTTAGTGGTGGAGGATGCACTAAAGCTATAATGGCTTGGCCATCATTTGCCATCATTTAAATGTAAACTCACCTTAAAAATATCTTAGAACATATTTATAAATAAGAATCATTTCCATTAGCCTCAGTGTAATAAACATTATATTTTATTTTAATGCATTTGAACGAAAGGCATATATGGCTATATATGCACAATGCTCAATGATTGCATGTAACAAAATATCTTATTTGGAAGCTCCTCTCGTCTAGAAAATACAACGAAAATGAATGCGCATTAATTGTATAGTGTATGACAGCCATATTCTACAGTGTCTTTAATCATCTGAATCATTCTGTCCAGATTTTAAGGTTAGCAATGGAAAATCTTTCTAGTTTCCTATTTTTTAGGATAGTTAAATAAATAAATATAAGGACCCAAGCTTACTCAAAGGTACTGCTATATAAAATTAGCATCAGCAATCACATTTTAAGAAAATACTCAAAAATCATTTTCTATAGTCTTTTCTTCACTGAGTTTTATCTAAACTGAATTTTAGTATTTATGTCACTATTATTTGGTTCATACATTCATTAATTTATAAATGTTTATTACTGTTTTTTCTTTTTAAACAAAATAGGATTAAATTTTGAAAACTGTCTTGGAAATGATTTTAGCTTTATATATCTCACATGGATTCCTTTTGAGATAAGCACTTTTTTCAGAGCCGTTGTAATTTTGAATGGTCACTAAATGAACTGCTGCAAGGACTACCCAAATTTTCTCTAAATCAACAAACATACAACAATTTTCTTTCTGACAGTCATGTCTTTCAGTGACCCAAGGAGTAAAAATCAGGTTTGTACCTACTCTCAGCCTAAAACCATATTGAATTCCCTTCAATTGCTCATGGTAACCTCTCATGCTTTGTAAGCTGAACACCTCCTGTATACACTTAATAAATTAATGCTACTGTAAATTTTGCAGCTTCTAATGCTGTGTTTTCTGTTCCAGTTGTCATGCAGTCCTCACATACACATTAAACAAGTTTCTATAGCCACTCCATAAACAAACAACATCCATATTTTAACATTTATTCGGTTAACACCACCTACACCTTTAGCCCTATCATCTTTCAACATTCTCTTAGTGTTTGATGACTTCATTTTTTGGACATTAATATTTGTAACCTTCATTTCCCTGTCACACTTTGACATATTACCTATTCCCATACAGATCTCTAAAATATTCCTTCCAACATTCCTTCATTTCAAGTTCACCCCAAATAATTATACTACTTTTATTTTTTATTTTCATACAGTTGGGTGGAAGTTCTTGTTCACTGCCTTCACTCCTTTTAAAATATTTACTTTCATTTAAATTATGTTTAATTTTTTTGCCTATTTTAATCTTGACCATTCCTTACTCTCTCCTGTAAATGCTTTGTAAATATATTTTTCTCTGCATACATACTATATAAAGTACTCTCTTTCTATTTTCCTTGTTTTTTTCCCCTTATATTTATTTTTCTGTCATATAGAACAGAGGTTCCCGGCCTTTTGGGCACCAGGGACCGGTTCAGTGGAGAAGGGTTTTTCCATGGAGCAGAGAGTTCATGGTTTTGTGTGCTGCCTGCATCCCACGGATGGTGCTTTGCTTATTTGTGCGGACCAGCTGCTGGCATGCCATGGCCCGGTATCGGTCCATAGACCGGGGGTTGGGGAACCCCTAATATAGAAAGTCTCTTTTATTGCCTCATTCTATCAAGCACCCTTTTTCAACTTCACATTAGTGTAATTATATGAATTTCTTTACACTTAGTAACATTGTTTTACTATATTTCTTATGTTCACTTTTATTTTGTTGCAAGGTTAATTGTTTTTTTTTTCACTCAGACCTTATTCTCTCCCTTCTTTTCATAGCTGTATTTTTACTTCAATTGTTTCACTTTTTTTTTCTTGCATGTCCATTTTTCAATCAGAATCAGTCTGATCCTGATACTTGCAATGGCTAATTTAATTTGCATTCAGAATCTCTAATCAGCTTTGTATTCTTTCAATCTTTTGCCATAAATCATTCATGTTATTAGGTTAATATTCACTCCTTTGCTAAGTGTACATATAAATAGATTGAATACTTAAACCTCCTATTAAAAACAATGAGGTCTTTTTCTAAACAGATACTTTCTCATCACTATTCTATTCTATTTTCCGCCCCTGCGGAAACGTTTATGACGCTATGCAGTCATAAACATCCGAATGCAACAATTCATATTTTGTCACATATATTTTAGGCTTTCTTTCTGTTCATACTTAAGCCTATAGATTCCTTTCCCTTTGTGTATTAGGACCATTCCATAAGTTCAAACTACTTGATTTAGATTTATTACAACCTTTCCTTTTGGTTTTGTTTTATAGGCACACAATATAATCTCTTTTACATTCCTTCATTTCATATTTTTATTCATAATCTTCACTGTTTTACACCTCTTATGTTCCAAATTGCAATATTCCATATGCTTTGGACATCACCAGATTGGCTGGTGGATTTTTTTTTTTAATCAAGGCATATGTAAGACAGAGAAGGTGTAGTCTAGAATATCTGCTTTAGATTTTGTACTAACAGTAAGGATAATACCTGCCAGTTTGGGCAACTGAGGTTAGTCTGATACAAGCACAATTAAAACACAGTTTTACCCCAAGCATGTTCATATTTCCTATACCAAGTAAAATCTCTGATTTAGAGCAGGGGTCCCCAACTCCCAGTCCATTGACTGATACT